TTTTAATTTTAAAATTTTGAATAATTTTTATCTTTTTAATTAAATACCAATTAATATAAAAATTTCTCAAACTTATACTAGTTATAAAAGAGAGAAAAAAACAAATATCTACTATTGTTTCAATATTGGCGGCTTGGAAATATACTGAAAAACTAAAATGTCATCGACAGCAAAAGGTGAGAAAGAACCAAGAGCAGGAAAGCAACACAGCATTCCAATTTATCCCTTGAAAAACTACCAACCAATTATTGTATACCTCAGAAAGCAATAACAAGTCCAATGTCCAACCCGCACCACCAGACTGCTCCGGTGATCGTAGTGGCAGTGCCCTTTCCGGTACAAAGCCATCTGAACCAGCTCCTGCAACTCTCATGCCTCCTATCATCATCACCCCACAACCTTCCAGTCTACTACGTTTGCTCTTCCAACCATGTCCAACAAGCCAAGCTCCGCTGTTCCGATCCACTTCTCCTCTCCACCATCCAATTCCATGACCTCCACATTCCTCCCTTTCCTTCTCCCTCCCCCATCCCTGGCACGGATACTGATTTCCCTACCCATATGCATCCCTTGTTTGAAGCCTCACTAACCCTGCGCGAACCCTTTGCAGCATTCTTCCAAACTCTTCATTCTCAAACCAAGAAGAAGATTATTGTAATCCATGACAGTCTAATGTCATATGTTGTTCACGATGCTGCTTCTTTCCCAAATGTCGAACTCTACGCTCTGCGCACTACTTCTGCCTTCAATGCCTTCTTCTGGAAAATGGGAGAGATCCCAATTCCTAGAGAAATTCAAATCCCACCCAATCTTCCTTCCAAGGAAGGCAGTTATACATACGAGTTCGAGAAATTCTTAGCCTTCAAAAATGAGTTCTTGAAACTCCGATCCGGCGATCTCCGCAACTCATGCAGAGTGATTGAAGGTGATTATCTCGATCTTCTAGCTCAGAATAATGGGAACAGAAATCAGTGGGCTGTTGGACCATTGAACAGACTAGTAAGGATTAACAAGCAAAGCAAGTTGAATGGAAAAGAAAAGTGCATAGATTGGCTTGATAAGCAACCAACAAAGTCAGTCATGTACATCTCCTTCGGCACCACAAGTTCCATGGTAGACGAACAGGTTAAGGAACTCGCAATAGGATTAGAAGAAAGCAAGATTAGATTCATATGGGTATTAAGAAATGCAGACAGAGGAGATATTTTTGCAGAAGAAGAACAGATCAG